GCAACAAACAATACACACAATAGAAAAGGTAAACAAATAACTAAAATATATATATACAAATACAACTAAACTATATATATTTTTGTTATCTTACCCGGGAAAGCCCAGTGAGTTATTAGCTTCTTTTCGAGAAGCGACCTGGCTTTCATACACACGACAGCTTAATGACCATGCCACCTGTGGCACCCACAACTTCCATCGTTCTAATTTATTCACGTCCCCTGGCCAAATAACGGTGAATTAAGTGAAACACCACTTGAATCGAGTCTTATCGAATTATTCACTCTCAATAGCCGTATAAATGCATACATCGGCACGGCGAAAGTGCTGCTACCACAGGTGGAGCCGTTCTCTGCTCTTTCCCCATGGGCTGCGGTACATCGAGTGTGCAGGCGGTGCACCTGCGCCAGGGAACCCCACGGGCGCCAGGTTACCGAGAGGGTAAGGCCTCGGACCGGTGGGGGTCCCTCATTCCTCGCACCGGGGCCCACGCCAAACGCACGGCTTTCTGAGGCTCTTCGCTCTCAATGAAGCGGTGGTTTCTGGGGGTTTGTGGTCCGTAATGAATTCCTGCAGTGGGCAGACGCCTCTGTCCCCTGTGGGAGCGTGGCTGGAAGATGACGCCACGTGGCTACTTCTGGACTCGTACTCAAATCTAGAATTAATACTTCTGGACTCGCGTCAGGTCGCCTCTCCAAACCGCACGCCGAGGCCACCCACGGAGATCGTTCTGCCACGTGGAAGGCGTCCGGCGTGTGTTTGCAGTGCCAGTCCTCTCTGCTAGGTGAGGCCAAGCGAAGTGAAACATCTCGCGTCTGTCCTCTCGTGCTTTTTGCGTAGTCGCTTGTGACCGGGCAGAGACCATCAACTAGTCGCCACGCTTAACAACCCGGTATTGAACCCGGAATTAAACGCGGGTGGCTGAAACCCGAATTCAAACCCACGGTCTCCACCGTGCCGGGCTCAGTGCTCTGACATAGCCACTCTCAGCCGGATGCGCTTCGCTGCATCTGGTAGAGCGGTCAACGTGTGATGTGAGGTTGATGTAAACAAGCCCAAGGCTTTGCTTGGCCACAGGGAGTGGACCCTGAGTCAATGTCTCCAGGTGCGGTGGTTGTAGTCGCCGCTGTCATGGGGCGATGCTCCCCAGTGGCTGGTGGTAGTTGGTGTGTGGTGAAGGTCCCCAGTGGCTGGTGGTAGTTGGTGTGTGGTGATGCTCCCCAGTGGCTGGTTGTAGTTGGTGTGTGGTGATGCTCCCCAGTGGCTGGTGGTAGTTGGTGTGTGGTGATGCTCCCCAGTGGCTGGTTGTAGTTGGTGTGTGGTGATGCTCCCCAGTGGCTGGTTGTAGTTGGTGTGTGGTGATGCTCCCCAGTGGCTGGTGGTAGTCGGTGTGTGGTGATGCACCCCAGTGGCTGGTTGGAGTTGGTGTGTGGTGAAGCTCCCCAGTGGCTGGTTGTAGTTGGTGTGTGGTGATGCTCCCCAGTGGCTGGTTGTAGTTGGTGTGTGGTGATGCTCCCCAGTGGCTGGTTGTAGTTGGTGTGTGGTGATGCACCCCAGTGGCTGGTGGTAGTTGGTGTGTGGTGATGCACCCCAGTGGCTGGTTGTAGTTGGTGTGTGGTGATGCAACCCCAGTGGCTGGTTGTAGTTGGTGTGTGGTGATGCTCCCCAGTGGCTGGTGGTAGTTGGTGTGTGGTGATGCTCCCCAGTGGCTGGTTGTAGTTGGTGTGTGGTGATGCACCCCAGTGGCTGGTTGTAGTTGGTGTGTGGTGATGGTACCCAGTGGCTGGTTGTAGTTGGTGTGTGGTGATGCTCCCCAGTGGCTGGTTGTAGTTGGTGTGTGGCGATGGGCCCCAGTGGCTGGTGGTAGTTGGTGTGTGGTGATGCTCCCCAGTGGCTGGTTGTAGTTGGTGTGTGGCGATGCTCCCCAGTGGCTGGTTGTAGTTGGTGTGTGGTGATGCACCCCAGTGACTGGTTGTAGTTGGTGTGTGGTGATGCACCCCAGTGGCTGGTTGTAGTTGGTGTGTGGTGATGCTCCCCAGTGGCTGGTTGTAGTTGGTGTGTGGTGATGCTCCCCAGTGGCTGGTTGTAGTTGGTGTGTGGCGATGCACCCCAGTGGCTGGTTGTAGTTGGTGTGTGGTGATGCAACCCCAGTGGCTGGTTGTAGTTGGTGTGTGGTGATGCACCCCAGTGACTGGTGGTAGTTGGTGTGTGGTGATGCACCCCAGTGGCTGGTTGTAGTTGGTGTGTGGTGATGCACCCCAGTGACTGGTGGTAGTTGGTGTGTGGTGATGCTCCCCAGTGGCTGGTTGTAGTTGGTGTGTGGTGATGCTCCCCAGTGGCTGGTGGTAGTTGGTGTGTGGTGATGCTCCCCAGTGGCTGGTTGTAGTTGGTGTGTGGTGATGCTCCCCAGTGGCTGGTTGTAGTTGGTGTGTGGTGATGCTCCCCAGTGGCTGGTGGTAGTCGGTGTGTGGTGATGCACCCCAGTGGCTGGTTGTAGTTGGTGTGTGGTGATGCTCCCCAGTGGCTGGTTGTAGTTGGTGTGTGGTGATGCTCCCCAGTGGCTGGTTGTAGTTGATGTGTGGTGATGCTCCCCAGTGGCTGGTTGTAGTTGGTGTGTGGTGATGCTCCCCAGTGACTGGTTGTAGTTGGTGTGTGGTGATGGTCCCCAGTGGCTGGTTGTAGTTGGTGTGTGGTGATGCTCCCCAGTGGCTGGTTGTAGTTGGTGTGTGGTGATGGTCCCCAGTGGCTGGTTGTAGTTGGTGTGTTGTGATGGTCCCCAGTGGCTGGTTGTAGTTGGTGTGTGGTGAAGCTCCCCAGTGGCTGGTGGTAGTTGGTGTGTGGTGATGCTCCCCAGTGGGTGGTTGTAGTTGGTGTGTGGTGATGCACCCCAGAGGCTGGTTGTAGTTGGTGTGTGGTGATGCTCCCCAGTGGGTGGTTGTAGTTGGTGTGTGGTGATGCACCCCAGAGGCTGGTTGTAGTTGGTGTGTGGTGATGCTCCCCAGTGGCTGGTTGTAGTTGGTGTGTGGTGATGCACCCCAGTAGCTGTTGTAGTTGGTGTGTGGTGATGCTCCCCAGTGGCTGGTTGTAGTTGGTGTGTGGTGATGCTCCCCAGTGGCTGGTTGTAGTTGGTGTGTGGTGATGGGCCCCAGTGGCTGGTTGTAGTTGGCAGAGGTGGGACAAAGTCATTGTTATGCAAGTCCAAGTCGAGTCTCAAGTCATCAAATTCATGACTCGAGTCTGACTCGAGTCCAAGTCACATGACTCGAGTCCACACCTCAGAGGTGGGACAAAGTCATTGTTATGCAAGTCCAAGTCGAGTCTCAAGTCATCAAATTCATGACTCGAGTCTGACTCGAGTCCAAGTCACATGACTCGAGTCCACACCTCTGGTAGTTGGTGTGTGGTGATGCTCCCCAGTGATCCAGTCCAGAGCCGCGGCTGTCTCTGGCTGCGTCCACAGCGATGTACAGTGAGGAGCAGCGTGCTTCATTGCTCTGCAGCAGCGGCAGCCCTCCAGAGAGCCTTCAACAATACATTCCTGTGCGTATGTGCTAATGTGTGTATAAATATCGCTCGCTTTTTTAATTTTGACTTATGTCTGCAGGTTTTTTCTTCGCAGTAGTCTCCCCCCCCCCCACTCCCTCTCACTCTCTCTCTCTCTTCCTTCTCTGGACCACGTTAGACCATCTAGGGGCAGTTGTTTAATGAACGGGGCGATTGAAGAAGTTTCAGAGCAAGTGTTTCTAAGCCACGCGTGTCTGATGTTTGTTTAAATCATGAAGGAAGTGGAACCCTTAAGAGGTGCCTTGGGAATGAGTGTTGGCGCCGTGGGCAGCTCAACTACGCAACGAAACCGGCGGTGACCCGAGTTCGATTCCAGGCCACGGCTGACATTGGTGGAGATTGAAATCTGAATTGGTCCTGGACCCCTATTCCGTAACGCGCACTGACCTGCACGGGGAAGTATGGTCAAACTACTGCCACGGCCGACACGGCACGGGAACAAAGCATTCGTCTGGCAGTGGATTGACAAAGGGCTGAAGTTATATTTTACTGGTAGGAACCACCTGGTTCCACCAGCACACAGAGGATTGTTGTGTCCGTCCGTCGTGCATCCAAAAATGGGAGGGGTGGGGCTGGGTGGAGAGGGGAGGGTGGAGAGGGGAGGGTGGGGAGGGGCTGGGTGGGGAGGGTGGGGCTGGGTGGGGGGTGGGATAGGTGGGGCTGGGTGGGGAGAGAATGGTGGGGAGGGGCTGGGTGGGAAGGGGCTGGGTGGGGAGGGTGTGGCTGGGTGGGGGGTGGGAGGGATGGGGCTGGGTGGGGAGGGGCTGGTCACCCCGTGGTGCCCTTATAAAACTCAACGTTTAACCTACTCACGCCGGCTTGTGTCCGCCCTCACAGTCGGCCATATTTGCGGAATACACCACGCCGCCGTTGACCCTGGCCATTGACGAGCAACCCAACGTTCCTACCAGCTCCCTCCGCAGGACAATGTGTTTTTTGGGCTAAAAACGTCGCTGTGGGTTGCATTCGCTGCCCAGCGAGACAGACTGCAGTGGGATAACTAATCTGTGTTACTGTATTCCATCAGAGCACACACTCAAATTGAAGATGCCATATTGATAATACTGTAATATAATAATATGGTCTAACATATATATAGATCCTAATTTAAAACATGCTGTAGAGTTTGTAACTACAGACACGTGAGAAAGCAGCCAGAACCGGCAAGACCAATTTCCCAAGCTCTGCAGTTCTTTATTGGGATGTTTGGGAAACCCTTTTAGTGCGCGTTTATACGTGTGAGTGCAAACCGGAGCACGAGGGTGATAGCACTCAATCCCCGTACAGATTGAATACAGCTGGAAATGAACCCACGTGTTGCTGTACTGACATCATACCGTGGCCCATCGAGCCAGGAGGTGGGAGCGTCAGTGCACTTGGGCAGGACGCGTGGCCACGAGAAGGAGTGGTGGCTGCTGGACGAGCTTGGTGTGGGAATGTCACCCAAAGGAGGGGACATGCCCCAGAACGCGGCCATGGACCACGTGGCAGTGAGAACCGGCCGTGTGTGCAAGCGAGACATTTCCATTTCAAGGGATTACCGAGGTGATATAAAAAAAATTGCAAGTTGGATTGTGGCGTCGCAGGACAATGAGGGATGGCGATGCCGTTCAGAGGCCTTCATCCAACGGTGGCCTAGAGCGTGGCTAATGGCGTGGTGGTGGTGGCGGTATTGTTTGTCAAGACGCGTCTCCCGGCTCAAACGAGACTCAATAGGCAACCCGAGTCAGTGGACAAGACTCCACATTCCCGTGGCCTTGTATATGCAGAGGACATCCACTGTTGGCCTCCCACAAAGTGGTACCTATTTATCGACCCCGGAAGGAATGATGGGTATGGTTGGTCTCCCCCCCCTCCACCACCCCACTGGGATCTATCTGAACGTGAGTGACATCGTCCTTAATGTTGTGTCGGGCGACCAGATCGTTTAGCTGTCAGCCGCGGGCGGACAGAGGTGACGTGAAGGGTTGGCGCGAGTGTCCCGGGACCAACAATAACAACCGCCATTCACCACTAAGTGGCGGTGACGTCACCACGACGCTTGTGCCAGGCCATGTGCACCTTGAGGCCACGTGAAGTGTTGAACGCCCGCTGGCGGGAGGTCACGGGACAGACCCAGGTGCCACGGGTCGACTGACTGAGATGACCGAGATGACTGGCTGATGCACCACCTGTGTGCCTTCTACTGTGCCAACTTGCTGTGCTTTAGCCACCCGGCGTTCTGCTCGTTGTTGTGAGCGTCGCTCCTCCGTCCTCCGTTGTTGTTGGAGGGCCACTGCCTCCAACTGCCCAGTAGCGTCCTTCACAAGCCTCCTCCACAGAGGCCGATCTTGACACCGCTGGTACGAGTCATCAGCAAGTTCACTCAGCTCCACATCCTCCTATACCAAGTCACTCCATCCTTCTCTAGCCCGTGCCCCGCCCGTTAAGCCCCCTCGATCTGGCCAAACAAAAGCTGTTTTGGCATGCGGTGATTTGGCATGCGGGCTACATGGCCCAGCCAACGCAACCTTGCCTGCCGGAGGTGCTCACCGATGGGACTTTGTCCAGATCTTTCGAGGAATTGTGAGCTCCTCACACAATCCAGCCTGGTTAAACCCAGGATTGATCGTAGGCAGGCCAGCCTAAATGTTTATAACCGGCGAAGATGTTCCATTAGGGGGTCAACGTTTCGCAAACGTAGAGAAGGGAGGGAATGACTGTGGCCGAGAAGACCTGATGCTTCATGCGGAGCGACAGACCAGGTAGCTTCCGCACAGCGTTACGGAACCGATGGAAAGATAATGCCGTTCGACTGATTCGAAGTGAGACCTCTGCTGTTAAACCGGAGCCGGTCATAAGCACACTGCCCAGGTATGGGAAACTTTTCACTCTCTCCACAACTGCCCCATCACTGATTGGGAGTTGTGGGGGTGGAGTGCCCGATGGTACAAAATACCCAGGCAGGTGCTTCGTTATGGTGGGGCTGATGGTAAGGCCCCACCTCTTAGTGGCACACTCCAGTTTCAGCAGCAGCGCCTCCAACTCATCCTCTGAGTGAGCTGCAATTACCAGGTCGTCGGCATACAGTACATAACGCGGTTGACCAATAGGGAGCAATCCCTTGACCGCTCCCGGGCATCGATCAGCCTCCCATTGTATTTGTACCAGATGGAAATTCCTCCGGTGCAGCTATTGAAGGCTTCACGAACTACGTGGTCGAAATAGATGTTAAATAATGTTGGAGCCAGAGGACATCCCTGTCGCACCCCAAGGTGTACAGGGAATGGCTCAAACTCCCGGCCACGTAGTTTTACCCGGGCCTGGTCACCATCATGAAGGTCCTTAATGATCGTGAGCAGATGGTTAGGGACTCTGAAAGCACGAAGATCAACCCATAGACCAGGCCTACTGATGGTATCATAGGCCTTGACCAGGTCAATAAAGCAGAGATGTAGGTCTTGTTGGAATTCCCTACACCTCTGATGTAGCAGACGGACAGAGAATATGGCATCTGTGCAGGACCGCCCCTTCCTGAAACCGCATTGGGGCTCCGCAAGCCTCTCCTCAGCGTGCCTGGCAAGACGATATTGAAAAATCCTTGCCAGGACCTTTCCCGGCACACTGAGGAGTGATATGCCCCTGTAGTTGTTACAGTCTGTGCGGTCCACCTTCTTAAAGAGGGGGGCCACCAGGGCATCCTTCCAATCCTGCGGAACCCGTCCAGTGGTCCCGACTGTTGTTATGATGTCAGGTAGGGCAGTCTGCGCACAAACGCCACCCTCCCTCAGCATTTCGTCACCAGCAGCAGCAGCAGCACACCACACTGACGGAATGGTCGCACTGCCAACGAGTTCCCACAATCCCGCGTCCGATCTGCACGACGGCAGACGTCGGCGCAGGGCCGCCGTGCCCGGGGGCTGCCGCACAGCCCAGGGCACGGGATACCCTGGCTGACAGAGGACCCCCCCCGGGGAGATGGAGCGGCGTTCAGCGGGCGAGGGGGGAGCTCGGCGTGCGCGCGATCCGCTCCAGCGAACTGAACGCCACGCGCTTGTGTGCACCACGTGGCCAGTGGGGGGGGGGGGGGGGGGGGGGGAGTGGCACGTGCCCCCCCTCCCCCAATGATCCGATCGAAATCCCTAATTTGCAGGGTAGCGTGCAGGGTTGAGTTCAGGGTGGAGTTCAGGGTAGAGTGCAGGGTAGAGTGCAGGATAAAGTGTAGGGTGGAGTGCAGGGTGGAGTGTAGGGTGGAGTGCAGGGTGGAGTGCATGGTGGCGTGCATGGTGGAGTGTAGGGTAGAGTGTAGGGTAGAGTGCATGGTGGAGTGTAGGTGGGTGGAGTGCAGTGTGGAGTGCATGGTGGAGTGCATGGTGGAGTGTATGGTGGAGTGCAGGGTGGAGTGTAGGGTGGAGTGCATGGTGGAGTGCATGGTGGAGTTCAGGGTAGAGTGCATGGTGGAGTGCAGGGTAAAGTGTAGGGTGGAGTGCATGGTGGAGTGCAGGGTAAAGTGTAGGGTGGAGTGCAGGGTGGAGTGCATGGTGGAGTGTAGGGTGGAGTGCAGGATAGAGTGCAGGGTGGAGTGTATGGTGGAGTGCAGGGTGGAGTGCAGGGTGGAGTGTAGGGTGGAGTGCATGGTGGAGCTCAGGGTGGAGTTCAGGGTGGAGTGCAGGGTAGAGTGCATGGTGGCGTGCATGGTGGAGTGCAGGGTGGAGTGCAGGGTGGAGTGCAGGGTGGAGTGCAGGATAGAGTGCAGGGTGGAGTGCAGGTTGGAGTGTAGGGTGGAGTGCATGGTGGAGTGCAGGGTGGAGTGCAGGGTAGAGTGCATGGTGGAGTGCAGGGTAAAGTGTAGGGTGGAGTGCAGGGTGGAGTGCATGGTGGAGTGTAGGGTGGAGTGCATGGTGGAGTGTAGGGTGGAGTGCAGGGTGGAGTGCAGGGTGGAGTGCACGGTGGAGTGCAGGGTGGAGTGCATGGTGGAGTGCAGGGTGGAGAGCATGGTAGAGTGTAGGGTGGAGTGCAGGGTGGAGTGCAGGGTGGAGTGCAGTGTAGAGTGCATGGTGGAGTGCAGGGTGGAATGCAGGGTCGAGTGCAGGGTGGAGTGCAGGATCACGATGCACGGATCATCCGATGACAATATCGTTCATAGGAGCGGTGAGTTTTGCGTTGCACGTACAAAACAATGTCTAAAGTCCAATCTGGCTAAATAAATCATGTAAACACAGTTTTTATGCCAAGCATAACAAAACACTTCATAAACACACCCTATGTTATTGTTATTATCATCATCAGCAGCAGCCCTCTGGCGAGTTGGAGAGTTTTCCATCGTTTTTTACGGGGCAGGCGAATCTTGGGGGGGGGGGGGGTGGGGTGAGAACACGAGACCCAGGCCGCCTGGAGCCCCCCACCGGAGCTGGAACCCGCGTCACGTGGGGCCCCCCACCGTAGCCGCCGGAGTTCGCGTCACGTGGGGCTACGTCCTTTGTCGTGAACCTTGACGCTTGAGCGTGCGGTGCAAATCCGACGTCGAGTAAGTGCGTTTCCTACAGCAGAGTGTCACGTCAGATCACTCTCGATTCGTGTCAAGTCGGAGCATCGCCCTGGTCAAAGAATGAAAGCGGTTATGCTCATGTTTTACGGTGGGCCAGAGCCAGTGGTGGACATTCCACATTCCCATGGCGGGTGCACCGTACTTTCTACACGACCACCGGCCGGAAGACTTTCTCGCGGAGTCGGTACCCACTGCATGGAAACGCAGGGTCGGGAACAGAGCTCGTGTCTCTGAGTATGAGGCGCGTGTCTGTGTGTGTGTCTCTGTGTGTGTGACTCTGAGTGGTGTGTGTGTCTCTGTGTGTGAGTGTCTCTGTGTGTGTGTGTCTCTGTGTGTGAGTGTCTGTGTGTGTGTGTCTCTGTGGTGTGTGTCTCTGTGTGTGAGTGTCTCTGTGTGTGAGTGTCTCTGTGTGTGAGTGTCTCTGAGTGTGAGTGTCTCGGAGTGTGAGTATCTCTGAGTGTCTCTGTGTGTGAGTGTCTCTGTGTGTGAGAGTCTCTGTGTGTGAGTGTATCTGTGTGTGAGTGTCTGTGTGTGTGTCTCTGTGTGTGTGTGTCTCTGTGTGTGTCTCTGTGTGTGTGTGACTCTGAGTGTGTGTGTGTCTCTGTGTGTGAGTGTCTCTGTGTGTGTGTGTCTCTGTGTGTGTGTGTCTCTGTGTGTGTGTCTCTGTGTGTGTGTCTCTGTGTGTGAGGTCTCTGTGTGTGAGAGTCTGTGTGTGAGTGTATCTGTGTGTGAGTGTCTGTGTGTGAGTGTCTCTGTGTGTGTGTGTCTCTGTGTGTGTCTCTCTGTGTGTGAGTGTCTCTGTGTGTGTCTGGTGTGAGTGTCTGTGTGTGAGTGTCTCGTGTGTGTGTCTCTGTGTGTGTGTCTCTGTGTGTGAGTGTCTCTGTGTGTGTGTGTCTCTGTGTGTGAGTGTCTCTGTGTGTGTCTCTGTGTGTGAGTGTCTCTGTGAGTGACTCTGTGAGTGAGTGTCTCTGTGTGTGAGTGTCTCTGTGTGTGAGTGTCTCTGTGTGTGAGTGTCTCTGTGTGTGAGTGTCTCTGTGTGTGAGTGTCTCTGTGTGAGTGTCTGTGTGTGAGTGTCTCT